GATTTGATTTGATGTTTTTGAGTGTAATTTAGAATTGGTTCCGTGCCAACTAGTTCTTTTATAACTTCATTCATTTCTGATTTATCTCTTCTGGACACTGCTGCAGTTCTTCTCAGACATTTCATTTCCATGTTTGCTAATTTTATTTTCTGGTTTGTTGTGAGTGTTTTATATGATGCAGGTTGCCTTGCAGAAATCAGAACAAGAATTGCTGTGGCAAAGGTGCCCTTTAGCACGATGCAGAAGATTCCCACTAATAAGATGTCACTTGCAATAAGAAAAATAGAGCATTAAAAGGCAATGTAGAACCTGTGTTATTATATGCATGTGAAACATGGACAATAAGCAGACAAGCTGAAAAAAACATTTACTCCCAGCAGAGAAGAATTTACTCGCAGCTAAGAACAATGCAAAGAATATCATGGATGGATAGAAAAAATAGAAGCAGTCCTCACTGAGACATAAAACTTAGAACAATTAGACACAGAGATAGTCAATATTTTTTAAACATATGAGAAGGAATGGACATAAGGACTTTGTAACTGGCAAGACTGATGGAAAGAGAGCAAAAATAAAGCAAAGAGATATACACCTGGATGACCTTGCCAGATGGATAGGGCGAGACAAATACGCTGAACTGATCTGCAATTCAGTTGATTGCTTACTGGCACTGCACATGATGATGATGTGCGTGACCCCATCTGGCATTGGTAGCATAAGGTGGGAATGAACAAGCTTTGTGAGTAGCTGATTGAGATTGTCTTGTGTTGTAAAAGGGGAGCTAGCTGTCCCAATACTTGGTTAGCTTTACTGCATCGAATGTCAATTTCTTCATCCACTTTCCCATTTTCGGTTAATGTTCCCAGATGTTTAAACTCAGATGCCTTTGCAACCTATGGTAATATTTAGGTTCTGCTTTTTTCTTTTCATTGACATTGCTTCTGTCTTTTCAATGACGATTCTTATTTTATTTCACTTTCATTCTTAGCTGTTCATGCTATTGCAATTTCATGGCTGCATCTGCTATCAAGATATGGTCATCAGCGAAGAGTAATTCATTCATCATCATCAATTACCACTTCTGTCTGCATTGTGGGGAGGAACAGTTTGCAAACCATTGCTTGATGGGCTGCTTTTGTCATTCCATACTGATGCAGAAGTTTTTTAATGTCATTAATCCATGTTATCCTAGGGTGGCCTCTCGCTTTCACTTCATATCTTTTCCTGCGTAGCACCTGCATTGGTAGTTGTTCTGGCTAAATTTGTACTAGAGGACCAAACCTTTTGATCTCCAGGAATTAGCTGCATGATGTAATCCCCAGTCTGCCTGACAATATCATTTCTAACATTGTATTGGATGGTTAAGTTGGCAGCTTTTTTCCCCCAGGCATCTCATTTCCCCCAGGCATCTCATTTTACAGATGATTATTTTACATAGGTTAGCCTTTTATAATGTAAAAGTATGGCACTGGTCGCACAGTGTTGGTATGAATATGCTGTTTGTAATATTTCTTGGCGATCATACTAATGGTTGGATGTCTTGATAATGGTGTCAGTTGGTATATAAGTGCGTTGGCATCATTTTTATATTTCCCAATCTATTCTCCCATCATCCGAGAATATACTTCCTAGATATTTAAATTTATTGATCTTAGTAACATTTTTGTTTTTTTTTGGCTTGGCTTACTGTCGACGAGGATGATTGCAAGTGCATAGGCAATAAATTTACATTTACTGATTTAAGCAAAAAAGACCTTTTTCCACACCTTTGGGCATATAGTAAACAAGTAAAAGACCCCTTTTCATGCCTACATGCCTAATAAGCATATAGGGCTAGACCACTCAGCACTTGGTGGGTGATGTGGTCAACCCGTCCACTTTCTCAGTGGTCAGAAACAGAAAATATGCATCATGTGACAAGTACTGATAAATTAGTAAAAGTGTGAGTGCTTTTTTATTCCATGATGCACAGGTTACGTTTCTGACTGCTGAGAAAATGGATGGGTTCATCCACAATGTCTAAAGAAATTTGAAAATGTCGACCAGTGGACATCCGTCAAAGAATGCAGGCAGCATATGGTAACAAATGTGTGTCAAACACAACAACGACAGACGGCACAAATGTTTTGGAAAGGACATGAGTTCAGAGTAGATCTTCCAAATACGAGTCAAGTGCATTTTGTTAACAGAAAAACACTACCACCAAAATGGACATTTGATATCCTATATGACAGCATTTTCTCAGATCTGCATGCCCAAGTGATTCAGTGTTCTCTACAATTAATGCGATTAAAAACTAAGGAAAGGAGCCGAATAAGTGATGACCATTTGATTTTCTTCTCGAGAGTAGCAGTCTTGTAATATGAACTGCAACATAGTAAAAAATACAATGCAGTGTGAAATTTTTTGCTTTCATTTATAGGTCTTTTTGTTTTAAAACTTATTTTCTATTTCTTCCGCCAATGATTTATGAAATGAAAAGCAGCACTTAAGCCTTAAAAAAGGTTGTCCATCAGTGACATAATCCAACTTTGCCATGAATATGTGTAAGGTTTATTTCAGTGGATTCTATCTAAGGCAGCGGTTCTCAACCTATGGGTCGCGACCCTTTTGGGGGGTCGAACGAGCCTTTCACAGGGGTTGCCCAAGATCATCGGAAAACACAGATTCTCCGAAGTTATGAAGTAACAACCAAAATAATGTTATGGCTGTGGGTTATCACAGTTTCCTTCTAATCACAGTGTGTCTGCCTGAGAAGCAAGGAATCAACAGTCTGCACATAAACAAGCCACATCTGTAGGATACATGTGGACAAACAACCATAACTTTCTTCCCAGAGTTGACAGCCAGTAAATGTGAAAATGAACAAACACAATTGTCAAGAAAATTCTCTTTGTAGTGCCTTAAAATAACTAACTCCCTCTGATCCAGAATTATGCCAAAATGTCAGACTGGTTGTCACTAAACAAACAAAAAAGAGCTTACATTTTTAACTATATGTATAAATCAATAACACAACTCGACATTCGCAAAGGTAAAAGAATTTAATAAACATAAAAATTTTAACACAACAGAAATTGACAAGAAGTGAATGGCAGCCACCTTTCGTCATATATACCATAACAGTGAACCTATGTATTTTTTAATGTTTAAATTCTATTTCATTAATTATATATATACTATAGTCATTGTACCGAGATAACAGAAATCAAATCGATAACCAATAATCTACTTAATATATTTCAACCGTTGATCTGCAAACGACTTACCAACATAAAGCAGTAAATGTTTCTGTATTAACATTTGTCATCATTAATACCAAAACACAATGATAAACCTTATTGTCCCTGCAAACCGGCTCCACCTATGTTAACCCATTTATTCCGGTGACCTATAAATTACATAGCAAAGCTCCAGTAATTTCTATTATTCTGATATTCCCCTTAAAAAAAAAATTCTTAGACAAATGACCATTTGACATAAGCCCCCCCCCCCCCTCTTCTCCCACCCCACATGCAAATCAATTGTATTATTGAAACAGGAACAAATACTATAAAGAGCAAGGGGAATAGTCAATAAAAATGAATAAGCACATAATTAACTGGCTCAGGGTCTGTTATTTAGTCTTCCCTACATGCTGAATGTTTGTGAAGAATGGAGATGCAATGAATTATGTTAGCAATGTGTCTCATAAACATTTCTCTATAGCAAGCTGGGAAAGCAGCTCTTATGGGGAAATGGTACCAACTGTAAATATTGGTTTTGTACAACCTGGGTCTAAGGGGTAAAATAAAAATACTATTTAATGGTTATGCAGAACTGAAGAGAATAATATCTACAGGATAAAGGAGACAGACAACAATTCTATGCTAGAAATGTGAAGCAATAGGCTTTACATACACTAGTCACTGCATTATAGTTAGCGGGTAACCAGAAACCTGCCTCAACCACCTTTCCTCCCCCAGATAAACTTGAGCATCCAGTCTTCATAGGGGGAACTGGGCCCAGGATTCAGTGTAACTGAAAACACATCCTTCCTAAATAGGACCATGATAACCATGCTCCTCAGTTAGGGTGTTATATCACTATCAGCACCATTGCACACTGGGTGTTCCTATGTGTGCTCAGTCCTAATGCAACAGCCACCCCAAAGTACCTCTACTGATTTAGGTTTTAGGTCACAGCTCCAAATAATAGCCCCCCCCCCCCCACCAACAGGAAACAAGGCAAGAGTTCCCTCCCATTCTAGTTTTGCCACAAGAGTTTGGGAGGCAAGGGCAGGTATGGTTAAACTGTGTTAACTAGTAATGCAAGATGAACATTTACTCTACACAGCCTGTACCAATGTCAGACAGATGTATCACTAAACTGCAATAGCAGTGGTTAGGTCAACCTGCTAGCCTGTCAGCCTGGTGGTCATCTATTCAATTCTCAACTGATGGCAGACATTTTATCATGAACTGACAGGAGCTCCCATGTAGCCTCAGCCTTTGATGAGTACCAGAAAATGTTCTGGGAAGTAAACTCAGAGCAATCATCATGCTTCACCTTAATACATTAATGCTGTGCTTCTGTATTCACATCAAAAATATCAGTACCTGGCTTTCACATGTCAAAGCTATTCCATTAAAAGCACTGTGTATTATCAATGCTTCTTTAAGTAGCAATGATCTTAATAGGATGGCACTTAACCCTGTATTGTTCTTAATAAGGGTAAAACAAATTATGTCCTAATTCTAGGTCAAATAAGAAATGACCTTTATTCAACTGCAGACAGTTTGAAACACATATAGTACTCTTGAAAGGTTCAAATAACAGAACAACTGCCATTCATACATATGAACTCAATGTTACAACTGAAGCTGATCAAAGACTCATATCGAATCAAGTGCAACAATTTAAAAAGGCTGAAACATTCAAATCGTCGTACAGCACTCGCAGTGGAATAAAATTCATCTTCAGTACCCACCGGTTTGGCTTTCTGAAGGAAGTCTACTGAACTAGTTTGATTGGTGGGACAGAGATCGAGATCGTGACTTTCCCAGTGGGGATCTACAAAGGAAACAATACAGCTCATCAATATACAGTCATGTATAAACACTGGTGAAAGAAAAAACTCTCTTGCTGCACTGAATCAGACACAAAATCAACAGTCTTGAATCAGAATCTCCCCTTTCAGCAATGAACATTTGGTATGTATCAATTCCAGCATGAGCCACAAACATGACCTTATGCTTGAGGCCTTCACTGGTGCCCCAGTTTGACATGCAGTGTCGTCCCTGCGCATTAAATGTCTCCTCTCTGACTGGCTAACCTCTCTCAAGAATCTTGTAAAACATGCTCTGGAGTTTGCATTGTTGCACCACAACTGCAGGTGGCACAGTGAGTGACAGCCATTCAGTGTAGAAGTGCTCTGAGTTCACAGTGTCAGGTCCTGAGCCTGAAAATTCTAGCATTCGTGTTCTACCATATTTGTCCAAGCTTATTACATTAGTGCTAGCTTACTGACAGCTGGCACATTTCGCTGAGATCACCCCAAATGGTAATGATTTATTATTAATTATTGGGTCATGACCTGTGTGACCTATTATTAAAAAAGCTTTACCTGACACATTTTCTGACACATGACAGTTGCTTCTGTCATAAAGAATGTCAAAACTGTCTAGTTTGCTGAATTTGACATAGTACACTTTCTGCTCAGTTATATTTATGACTTTTGTGTGCAATCAAAATTTTTTTTTAAATCATGGGGTGGCAGGGAGGAAGGTTGTTCTGACCACACAGAAATGTTTATCATGTTTTACATCTCATATTTAAGTGAAACTAAAATTGTATGCAAAATACACATAAAAAAATAGAGAGAAAAAACTTCGCCCAAAGTAAAAAACATAAGGTTGTGGATAGACTGCCAACTGCTTTCTATGCCAGCAACAAGTTATGTCACAAAATTGTTGTGAAAACCCCCCCAAAAAATTAACCACATTCACAGACACACGTTTCCCACATTCATAACTTCCTATTTTTACCGGAGATGCAGAAAGCTCTCACATTTAATAAAATTTGAAGGAAAGATATGACATCAAGCGGCAGAGTAATGACAAGTGCAACTGTAAGCTCCATTCATAGTAATGTTGAAGAAGTTTAGGCAACTGCAAGAAATCTTAAATATAAGGGAGAATTTAAAGTGATAAAATGATGAAAATGTAACAGCAGCATGCCTGGAAACTGTTCATATTTGACAGGTAAATGTGGGGAGATTAAAAATATCTGCTTTACAAACCCCTTCTCAAGTTACTGGATGAGTTTATTACATTTCTATCTGTAAAGTTGTAGACACAAGTTTACTAGGTAAATGTCACTTGTCCTTCTCCTGCGACAAGTATTTCTTTCTCAGTCGTAGGAAACTCCATCTGTCTTTCCATACCTGTAAAGAGTTCCACAATGTTGAGGCACGATTATTGAGGATGCCATGAGATTCAAGATTTCTCTATTTTAAACTCACCATCAAAACTAATCACTGGTAGGTCAACTAACAACAGCGACTCCTAAAGCCTTGCCTACAGAAAGAAAACTCCACGCTGTATTTTTACAACTATCTAAAAATTACGTTTCTAAAACAGGAAACGGGCTGCCTTCTGAAAAAACAGAAACCTTGTTTCGCCTGTTACTGACCTAGTTTGATGATGGCTCTGACCAATCCATGTAAGATGCTTTAATGGAAGACCTGAACATTTCTGAGTGCCATACAAAGTGATCTTAGAAAATGAAGCCTAATGTCTGACAGTCAGGTGAACAGATAGAAACATTTTGTGTACGGAGGTCAGCTGACATAAACCTGTCCTGCAAACTGAACTGTCACAAGTAAGAAACTTAATTCACTCATACAGGATATTTCACAGCAAGCTACCAGCCTACTGGTTTGCAACCTGAAGAATCATGAGTCTGGATCCATGATATGCATGCTTGAGAGAGACCTTTGTGAGAGATTTCTAATCTGTTGAAATAGCCATTCAGTTTGTAAACTGCGCTATCCAAATATGTAGCTTGCATACAACAATTCACAATTGAACTGACAGGCTAAGACAAGCACAATAAAAACAAACGCCAATGTTAAAAAATTGTTATGAGACCAAGAATTACTGTCAAAAACATGCATGACAAATGGAATGCAGAAAATTAAAGAAAAGACAGAATTCACAGTGGACTTAAGATACTTCTCACAATCTTCTGTCAATCATTTTTATGCAGACGTCTATTGTATGATACCAAACATGTCTCTTGGTCTCCCTCTGTCTCTCTTTCCTATAACTTTCCCACTGTCAAGAAAGACTCTAGTTTTGCTTGTTTGTGACATGTGCAAAGAAAATGAGCTATATTCAAGATATACTTAATGCCTGTTATATTTCCACAGTAGTATCAAGCTACACAGCTACAACACAGTTAACAGATACTTTTAAACACTGAACAACTGAATGTCCATGATACACTTCCATACATCAGGACTGGCTTTATACAGATGTTCAGAATTCTTATGTTTCTCACCTCACTCAACTGGCATAGGTTGAGTTTATAAAACTACATCATAGTTGCCAGATGCATTTTACACTGATCAACTGAATGTCCATGATACACTTATATACATCAGGACTGGCTTTATACAGATGTTCAGAATTCTTATGTTTCTCACCTCACTCAACTGGCACAGGTTGAGCCTACAGAAGCACATCCATAAAATGCTTTGCAGTGATTTCGACAGTGGTATCTACAGCCCACCATTCAGAAAGGAAAAGCAAACTCCTGAATCTAAAACTGGCTAGCAAACTCAACAGACGAAAAATGCTGCAGTTGGTTCTGCAACAGTAAAGGATATGCAACTAACTCAACACACATAAACAGCAGGAAAAAGTTGCAAAAAAATAAATTCAAAGAAGAAACTGGGAAACTCACCTGTCCCTTGAACGACTGTCACGACGGTCCCTGCTTCTACTTCTAGAATAGCTTCGCGAATAAGATCTGGAAAATAGGAGACAGGTTTAAGTTGCATTGCATTAATAATACCAGAAAAATAAAAATGTTAACTAATCTTAATAACTGATTAAACCTACAAAATACACAGAATCTGAAAGTTCTTTTGCTATACCCTTTATCTGTTTTACATCAAATGACATATGCTGTGAAACTATTATATTGACAAAAGTTCTCTAACTGTCATTACCATTTATGACTGACAAAATACTACAACAAAATGGCAAGATATTTACAGTTTACAGTGTAATAATATTATAAATCTATAACTGATTAAGTATGGTATTTGTACAGTATAGATTTTCCTTCAAACACCTTATTTGTTTTGTTTTGTAAATTCGGTTTTATATGTTCATTTCTTCCTATTATTTACTTCTTGATTTCATGTTGACATTGGTCCTTTACAGGCTCTGTTGTCCGTTGAGTTCTAGTCACAGTCTGTGCAGTATTTAGTGCATTCTTTTAAAAGACTTCTGTCGTAGTGTTCCGCTGTATTTGTTTACATCTGTTCAAATTTGTATTCAGACTTCCTTTTTCTTTGTGTTATCAGCAGTTAACTCCAGGAACAGTTTTTCGATGTTGGCCCACTTCTAGACTCTAGTCCTTTTCCGGAACCCAACTAGTGCAGGCAGATTGCTGGTTCTTTGCCTCAGGCAGATGCACTCTGACTTCAAAGGCTCCCAATAAGTCAATGCTTACGACAGGCTTTTGGGTAGGCAGTGGGTCTTATTCTTTTTCCCCACAACGGGGCCCTGGAACCCACGAAGGGAATATTTATAACACATAATGTCATGTTTTCAACGACATACCAACTAAGAATTCATTGTATTTAACTCAACAAATAACAGTTAAAGTTAAATCAAATGAGAAAATTCAAGTTTTCCTGTACACTTTTGCCTTCAGTCAAACAACCCAGTATAACAATACACTATCTTGTTGTTAAAGACCAAGTAATCTGAATGATGCCAAATACAAAAATGACTACTGCCAGCAACCATGAGAAAACCATAAACAATGAAGGAAGCAAGTCAAGACAACATGAATCTTTCTGTTTTTATACTGAGGTATTTTCTGCAAAATTACATAGGATCACAGAAAAACAGTGAATATGGGAGGAAAGGGGACTTGAACAAATATATGGACATTTTACATTTGAATGTCTTATTATTACTTAAAATTTGATTACCTGATTAAATAAGCTGCTTGATTTGACTATTGACCTTTAGTGATTGTTAAAAACATTTTTTTAAACTAGTCAGAGAAGCAAGTATTTTATCATTATGTGGTTTTCGCTTTTCTCTCTCAGACCTCCTTTCTCTTGAAATGATAGATTATCATATTCGCAAATCTTTTTCTTTTCTCTACTCCTGGAATGCCTTGTGGGGTCAGGGCAGGAAGAGATCTCTGCAGCAGGCCCTTCTGTTCATTTCGTATATATTCACAAATCAATTTTAATTTTTACAGCAAACAAGTATTTGTATACTTTGCACACTAAGATAACTCATCTTGGTGCTAAAATATGCCAAAATTTAGTTACTTCAGCCATTCCATAGCTCAATTTCTCCACATTTCAAAATGATCTCTTAAAAAAAAAACAGTTATAATTTAACCGCTGCCTTTCAATGCACATATTTCTCAAAAAACTAAATGCTGACCCTGCATTATAAGATTAGACTATTATATTGATTTTTATTTAGATTTGGAAAGTTGGTTGAATCCCATGGACTCATTTTTGAAACCAGTACATGGGATGCCTTATCATTTAGGATGTAGGTTGTTATAAGCCGTGAAATGGTCTACCAGAGTGAGCTTGGTGCAAACTTTTTTCCTGACCTATGGCTACCTCCAAAGGGACTGTGTTGCAGCAGTCCCTTACTCCTTATAAGCTCAGAAACCAGTAACATGCTCAAGACTGTTCCTGGCATGTCCTATCTGCGGAGAGGTCACGATTCAACACAGCTCTCAAGATCTAGACAGGTGGAATTGCTTCATCCACAGGCTGTAAATACTTCATTATCATCAGGCTCCACCACAATTTTCTAGGGAATTTCTTCTCCTTAGTGTTCTTCCTGGCATTCACCAGCTGTAAACTCCAGTGGTCCAGAACCTGAATTTTCTTATTATATGTATGCAGATGGTTGGTTCCTTGCTTCTCCGGCAGATTCATTCTGACTGAAGAAAACATCTTCTAATTAGTAGCATTCTACAACATGGAGAAAAGAGGATGGGAGGGGGGGGGGGGTTCCCATTGTTCTTCAGAATGGAGCTCCCAAACCTGCACAGGGGCAGGGGAATTCAAGGCTTTGATTTTTTAAATCCAAAGGTTTAAATGTTAGAGTCACTGTCTTTAGATGTAGCAATTAAAGAAAAAACTGCATTGTTCTATGGTACATATAAAAAGACAAAAAATTTTTTCTGATAATTGTTTAAGTGGAATCAAAGCACCATGGTTGTTTGTCCTTCAACTATTTTTATAATTGCACAGTAAATTATATTGTTTCAATTGCCTGATGTAACAACTTTCATGCAAACTCACTTTTTTTTAACCTATCAATATTTCATCTACAATAAGGGGTGGTACCCTTTATGTTCAGTATTTGTCCAAGATTTGTATGTCCTGCCTGACCAACAGAAAAGGTAACCAAATAAAATCACCACAGTTATAAGCATTGGGGGGTTGGGGGGGGGGGGGGGGGGGGGGGGGGGGGGGTGGGTGGGTGGTGGTGGGGGTGGGGGGGGGGGGGGGGGGGGGGGGGGTGTGGGGTGGGGGGGGGGGGGGGGTGTGGGGGGGGGGGGGGGGGGGGAGGGGTGGGGGGGCGGGGGTTTGGAAGGGGGGGGAATACTAGAAAAATGACAAATGTAACAAAGGACACAAAAGCACTTTCACCATTTCAGTTGAAACACACGAGACCACAACAAATTTCACGGGTGACAATGTGTCTAAAGTTTATCACAGTCTAAGTGTCTAACTGTATTTTTCTTAGACATCAAACAAAGCCAACATTATCACACAAGGAGAATCTGAGATCAACTGTTAATACTAATGAAATATTTCAACAATCTAATAAAATATTTCAACAATCTAAACACCAATGAACTTCAGCATCAAGAAGTACAAGAATAGAGATGTCAAAAACCGCTACTGCTCCACAATCAACTAACGAAACTGGCACTTATTACTGACACTGTGAGTTAAGATTAAACATTAAAGAACAGTTACATGACTGTAGCTTCTAAAGTTAAAATGCATTTATTTATTTATCTACTGTTTTCGTTACCGTTTAATTTCATCTATTCAGACTGTGAAGACCAAATTTCAAAGTGATGAGTCATTCACAGGGGTAGAATCTATCAAAGCAGAAGCCAATCAATCTTATCATGATGGAGGATGTTTCTAAAATGATGTCAAGGAAGTGCCTGATCTTAGATGTTCATGCCACCACAACGAATGCTGACATTCTCTGTCCGCCTGTGTGCCGACATTGTCAACCATGGCCACTGCTGTGTGTGAGGTCAAGAAATCTTAACATGGTTGTTGGTGGTGATTGCAGTGCAAGTAGAAGGTGGAGATTGATGGCTGGGCTAATTCTTAGTGACGGTTGCTCTAACTGGGATGGTATGCTGATCTTAGTCTTACTCTGCAAAGCAGGTACAGAAAATCAGTGACAGTTGAAATAAATACACACAGTTCCTGATTTTTCTTCACAGCAATCAATAACTTGTTATATACAGTACTAACTAAAATTACTGATGCTTAACTAATACTTTGAAATTATACTTTTAATAATACAAATGCTGTATAAAACAGAACATATGAAAATAAAACATTTTATTTGTTTAAAGCTTATATTTTACCTAATGAAATGTTTTATTTAAATCAACAGCCAAATATAACAGTGCTTAATAGAATATATGATACAAAATAAACATGGCGAATATGCACTCACCTTGACCTGCGTCTAGATCTGCTGCCCCCACCATGACTTCGAGGACAGTCATATGCATAGTGACCTCTATCCCCACACTCGTAGCACTTATCATCTGGGTGAAAAGCACGCCTGCTTCTTGGAGGACCACGGCCACCACGCAGCCAAGGTTTAGGGCGAACTTTACCACTGGATAGCTCAACTCGACATCTAACCCCACATAATGTTCTGCAAATGTTCAAGTGAAACGTAGGCTGAGAATCTTTTTTTTCCTTCTTAGCGTTCACTGGCTTTAAACTTCAGTGGAAAATATTGGCTGTTCATCCACTTCTGGACTTTGGTATTGCCCCAGAACTTGATTCTGTGTACACATCCATCTGACAGGTTGCGTATCCTTTACAGGACGTTGCAGAACCAACCCCAACAGTCCCTGGCTGTTGTGTGGTTTTTCTAGGCAAATTTAAGTCAAGTAGTTTGCCATTGCTTTCTGGACTGGCGGCTTTCTTGATACAACTGTCAAAACCAACTCAAGGCGCAAAGCTTGCAGCTGGGATCAAACTCGGCATCCCAGCATTACGAAGCGTTTGCTTCGACTTAGCCAGAGAGCTAACCCATCTGACAGATCTGTCATAATTATATGCAGACTACTGGTTCCTCACCTCTCCGGCAGATGCACTCCAACTCTGAAGGAAATACTTCCAGCCTAGTTTTATGACATGCTTAGTAGGGTGGCAGGTTAATTCTTTTCTCCCCAAAATGTGGGCCTAGAGAACCTACACGGTGGTTGAGAATAAAGATGCTATTCTTATACTATCATGTTGCATTTCAATAGGTTACTATCACCATCGTAAGCCATATCAACTGGTGCCAACAGTTATCTCCTCAACTCGGTTGCGGAATCTACATAGGTTATCCCGATAAATCTGTTGAAGAGATTTTTGATGAATGCGTGGAATTCTGTTCAAATTATGAAGCCGAAATAATTGCACTGAAAACAGCAGTATACCACCTAAAGACTGTAATGGATGTTTACCCTTCAAAGGCCAAAATATTGTCATCTTCAAAGATTCAATGTCTGCCCTTCAAGCTCTGGCGGGCAGTGAACGCTGCAGAACTGACATAGCCAAGATAATCCTGGATTATTACCTCATACAACATCAGAATAGTGATGCAGTGGATTTCAGGCCACTCCAGCAAACCAGGTAATGACAGAGCTGACAGATTGGCAAAGAAAGGAGCAACACAAGAACAACCACCTACAGCGACAACCCTACAGACAGCAAAAACAATTATAAGAGCTACAAACAAAGAGACTTGGTTGAACAGATGGGCCATGGGAGACACTGGAAGAGAGGTTTATAAACACATGGCTGGCCCTGATCCTAAGGACAGCATTAATCATCTAACAAGAAGGGACCAGGCCACCATCTTCAGACTTAGAACGCAACATACTCCACTCAATGGATATCTAAACAGATTACAGCCACAACACTCCCCAGAGTGCCAGCTATGTAACTACTCCTACGAAACTGTTGAACACCACCTCTTTGAGTGCCCAAAACTCAGCGAGACTAGAAGAATGCTACTCCCTCCGAGACCAGACAAGTGGAACACCTTGTACGGAGGAAAAGAACAGCTTGTGAAAACATGCAAATTCCACTACATGGCATTGGGCCAAAGGGCGAAAGCTCATGTGCCACTGGATTGATAACAACAACAACAACAATCTCCTCAACTCCTGTTTGTGACCCAAAGTGCTGGTACCTTTCCAGGCGAAGATGAAGATGCGCACATAATTTTTCTTTCACAGCCCTTCTCCGCCTCTTTTACTTCCCTAGTCCTTTTCCACCTTTCATCATCAGATTTTGAAGAGGCATCGGGTGCGAGCTTTGTTATGTGCTACATAGATGCTGGTATTTAGAGCCTTGGATATTCCATCTATCTACCCAGTCTAAGCGACAGGGCTGTTTGTGATGCACTATCTGGTGGTAATCTTGACACATTTCTGAACTAACATATCTGTTGTCTCTTGATGTAGTTTAGTACTGTTTCTATCCAAACCTCTTTCCGGATATCGCCATTTCTGATCCTGTCACTTCCAGTTACATTTAGGATTCATTGTAGGCATTTCAATTCTATTGTTTCTGATGAATATTCCTTTCATTATTAACTATGCCTAACCTCTTCCAGCAAAGACGGTGGATCTGGCCCAAGGAAGCCACATTGCAAGAGAAGCTATGGGGGACCGGCGGCAACCTTAAACGCACAATCCTATTTGTGACTCAGATGGGACTCAATGTTTAGCATGACTGATGTCGAATGCAGAAGAAGAAGAATTAACTATAATTTATTGTTTTCTTATATAAAAAGTTGTTACCTGTTTCCTAATGCTTGCTTTATGCTAGATATCTAAAATATTCATTGTCCATGACAATCTCAATCTTTTGTAAAACCCCATTTTTATGGCCCCATGGGATGTTTTTGCTTGTTCGCTAATTATTCAGGATTAACAGCCAAATTCTAAAACTAGTACTATGTAACATGAAATGGTACGTTCTGAGACTTCCAACGACTGAGTCTTGTTGCACTGGAAGATTTACATGTTACAGACATGTTAATGTGCTTAGTATTTGTTTCAATCTGTTATTAATTATGCCTATGCAGACCACCCTTCACTTGTTTCAAAATAAAATAAAAAGTTTACCATTATTTTCTTTGTCTTCTTACTACTCAAGTAATTTCTTACTACTTGAGGCACTGATATATCATCCAGTGCAGACAAAAAAATATCAGCTTCTATATTCAATGTTCATGATCAAGTAACAAACTGTTACAACATGAAGTATACAATGTAATCATCATCATCATCCTAATGTACCCTGCCAGGCAGCTAATTCCTCTACCACATCGCTTCAGGTCATCAAGCACCATTAATTTTTCTTGGTCTGCATCTTCAATTGATCTTTTCAGTCAAATGAATCTCATCAACGCCTCTCTCTCTCTCTCTCTCATCCGTGTGACAGAATAACACTGACTGCCTCTTTCCCACAGTTGTACATAGTTTTTAATTTCATCAGCCCATTTTCAGAGGGTCCTCTGCTTAGTTTCTCTCTGGCTGTCCTCTGTATTTGTACGCACGTGTCACAGAAACCAAATCTGCACAGCCTGGATGTAATTTTACATTGCATAATGTAATGCAAATGTAAACAACTTGTTCAAACACACAGTCAGGAGAACAATCACTGTTACAGCCACTAATGACTGAACCTAACAATCAAAGTAGTTACCTTAAAATTATGATTACCACAATGCAGAATGCCTAGCAATGACAGTTGATCAATGTGGCTAGAAAAGATATAACAAGACAGTTAACTGGACACACTAATCAGCTAACAAGACAATTTGAAATCAATCAATCAGCCACCAATTTTCTTGTGTGGGTTCTGGGGCCGCACGTGAAAGAAGAAAAACAAGCAACCCTCTGCCCACCATTAGCATGTTGTAATAGGTGAATAATAAGGATTGTGTTTAAACTGAATGCGGTGAACTGAAAGAAGCAGATATCGCAACCTAGTTGTAAACTACACCATAATGTGCCAACTACTACCCCCCCACCATTTTGTGAACAAATGAAGAAGAAGAAACAGCCATCAAAAAAAATCCAAACATTAAAAACAACGATCATATCAGAGGGCAGACCACAGAAAGTCATCATCCTGAAGCTCACAGCATGCTACAATCTATTACGCAGCCATGTGTACACAAATTTAAAAACTAACAGCCACGTGTACATGTGGATTAGTGCTTCAAGTACATATTCCAAGACTGCTTCAAATATCACTCATTAAGGTAAACCATTTGACCTTAAGAAATAAGTTCACAGGCCAGTGAGTGAACTAGAAAAGGTAACTGGTATTACAAGATGAACATCAGCTTTGTAGAACAAAGTCAAAGCAACAGATGACTCAAAATATTTGCAATTTACCGTTTAAAATAATGAATTTTTAACATCTCTATCTCATAAACCAACACAGTCATTCTTTATAAAAGTAAAGGAGGTAAACTCAACACAGATTAACTAATTTCTTACGTTCCATCCAATTCCTTGACTGAATCTTCAGCATCTCTGTAATCTTCGAACTCAACAAATGCAAATCCAGGTGGATTTCTGGCCACCCACACACTTTTCAAGCGGCCATAATAACTAAATGCCCGCTCAAGTTCTTTCTCTGAGGCATCTTTGGGAAGGTCTCCTACATAGACTTTACAGTCATTGGGAGCTCTGCCGTAGCGCGACATTGTATCTAAACAAGGAGAACAATCAAAAACAGACAATAAACACAAATATCAGGATTACATATAAGACAAGTAAAGTATAGAAATAAAGGATCCTTTTCCACACCTTCAGGTGTATTGGGCATATACAACTAGGCCTGCATTTTAAAGAGCAATTGACATTCGGTGGGTGATGTGGTCAGTATCATGTCAGTTGCCTCAACTTCCCAGGACTTTTACGTGGTACCCATTTAAGGCTGGGTCCACCTGGCAACCTAAATCATTTTTTGAAGAAAAAAAAAGTCCTGCTTCATTCAAATTCGAAACCATGATCTTTGGATTGCAGGCAAGAGGCTAGCTGCTACACCATGGCAGATCCCGTAATATAAGACTCAAGCTGTTTTTACAAGAAGCTATTAATCAGACTGTTAGCACCCACTTAGTCTCTACTAAATACAAATATGTGGATATTACAGAATTTCCAGGATTTTGTGGGAGCGAAAAATGATAATGGGAACTGCTCACCCCCCACCTCCTTCATATAAAAAGGATAAAAAAGTGAACCAACGATTTATTTTCACAGAAATCTATGCTAGCCAGGCATAAATGTCAGCGGATCCCATAGTAAAAATCTCAGAATTATTTCAATTTCATAATATAACCAGAATCGATTATTGTTTCTTTACATGTGTCAAGAGATCCCTGTTGTCACAGACAATGTTAATCTTTATAAAATAAAAAATTGCATTAATTTCTATTTAAACATGGAAATTCCTTACTTGCACAGGTGAAAAAAAGTTCTCAACAAATAATTCCAGTATTGTATGCTACAGAATAGTAATACAATGGTGGCAAATGGGGCTGCAAATTATTGCAATTAATAGCAAATTAAAATGTTTTAATGCTTTCCACATCCCAGACAATCGTTATGCTAATTAATAACAGATTTCTTAACTAAATTTTCAAATCATATGATGCCATGCAGCTGCACTAGCCAACTGAATACTAATAGCAGAAAACGACGCTAGGAATTGTAATAAACAATGGCGGTTATTTTTATACATTATGTATGCATCCACAGACAACACAATAAATTCAATTTAGCATTTACTTCCCATGCATCTGGAAAATTTCCACATTTTGAGTTTGTTGCAATTCCTTTGAATTTAATTACTGAATCGTATTGTTTTTTGCGGCTGATAACCAATTCCATTATTATGTGAAGAGACAGTGAGCACAACAAACTTAGTGAGTTTTAATATTTTATGTTGTATTGTTGTCGCTATGGCAATATAACGTGTATCATACATACATACATACATACATACATGTATTAACATATTTCATCAAAAAAATATGCATTGTGTTAGGTCTAGCTTTCACATACATATTGATGTGTGGTTGCTAAGGTATATGTCCAGAAACAAATACGGTACAGTACAGTTAAAACGCATTTTCTCAGTGAAAGTGCTAAGCATTTTCCTTACTTATTTTATTTAGCTTAAACTTAAACATTCACATCTCGGCATACAATTGACTCGACTGGGGTAATGTTGTGTTTCAATATCTCCAAGCAGAATCCAAATACAGGAGTTGCATTATAGCATTACATTTTTAATTTAAAATTTTTAAAAAAAGTTGACCACAGCCAGTACCTAACCCAACAAACCCTAAACAACAGAATAAAGTAAGGAAACCAAAACAGCACTAAAGCAATCTTTCAAGCGGGAGTGGAGAAAGCAGAATAGAGATTACAGACCAGAGAGTGACAGCATAAACAAACTCAACAGGAAAGAACAAACATCAATTTTTAGACTTCGGACTGGACACTGTGGTCTAGTCTTCGAGCACATCTGTACAGGATAGGCATAAAAGAATCTGCTGCCTGTGATTGTCGAGCAGAAAGACAGACCCCTGAGCACATGCAGTACTGCCCTTACCTCTCCCAACAAAGACTGGATCTGGCCCTGGGGATCCACATTGCGAGAGATGCTATGGGGGACCAGTGGCGACCTTAAACGCACAGTCCTATTTTTGACCCAGATGCCAGATGGGACTCAATGTGTAGCATGACTGATGTCGAACGCAGAAGAAGAAGAAGTTATAATACGAGATAACGATAACGGATCATAATAACGCCCATCTCCTTGTTTACTAATACTAGTAATCCTGACTAGAAAATTATTGTTTAACTACATTAATACCACAATATGTGACCAAAGTAGCAATATATAGTTTTGTAGATCTAGGTTACTTACATCATGTATTCCCTGGCAGGAGAGAATCTGTGTCTTATTTTCTGCAATAAAAACGTAATTTCGTGTTCGTTGTTCTCCAAGATGGCTGCAAACACGACAACGGCCACGAGTGCCAGGTACTCGTAAAATGTTGAATGTTGAATTAAGTAAAGAATCGAAATCACAGCACTCGCACTCGAGACAACCCCCCCCCCCCCCCCCCCCCCCTTAAGCGCTCCGTCCCCATCTTCAAAAGCAGGCGAAGAGTTGAAATTCCGATTGTACCAGTAACTATCTAATTGTAAATCCGTCTTGCCTTTCCCCTGAGTGTCGAGCGTCGGCCACATCCCATTGTAACTCCTCACAGTGCCATTCTCCTCAGACCCTATTGATCTATCTGTGCCTCGGCACGGTTCACTCGCTCCCAAAAGGCCTTCACAACATCCAGTTTGTCATACATCAGTTCACCACCAAGTGGTGCAGAAACAGCCAGTCTGTCTGCCTGCTCATTTCCACACACACCAGCATACCTGGAGAAAATATCAAAATGATGCTAACGACCAGGGACATTAGAAGTGATGCCGATTGGCTGGCCCTGCACACTCTGCACGGAGCATACATGTCTCCACCTTTCTCAACATGCTCTGTGAGTCAGTTACAATCAGTCAGGTACTAGCAAAAGTGTATTTTATATACAATAAACAAACAGACAGTGTATTGATAGGCCCTCAAAGAAAAGCGTAGAGACCTAGTAGGACACATAGATAACATAAAAACTGGAAGCTATAGTTACCGTGCCGGGTACTTTTAAAGACTTGCAGTGCATAATTACACTACTGTCTATCCCCGTGTGGGTTCCAGGATCCCATTGTAGGGAAAACAAGAATATAACCATTGCCTCCCCAACAAGCATGTCGTAAGAGTCGACTAATTGTGAGTTTTCTTCGAAGTCGGAGTGAATCTACCTGACAGACAAGGAACTAATAGTTTGCATACAAATAAGTCAGATATGTAAAACGGATATATACGTAACACTCAGGTTCTTGGAATAAGTTTAAAATCCTGAGGTGGGTAGACAACCTCCAAAATGGCGTGTGTGCCTCGCTATGGAAAAAAGTGTGTTAAGAACTTAACCAAGCACTATTAAAGAGGGGTGTCTTGATTGGCTATGTCTATCATACGGCTTGAAAACCACAACTATGTAGTAAAGTAGTAACATGTTTGAAGAATATTTTTCAAATGTTCAACACATGGACACATCCTTCCTCAGTCACCCAACCTCACGTCCAGATCGTTCAGTGGAGGGGGGAAGCAGAGAAATTATGTAACTTATTTTTTACGGAAGTCGGGTGTTGGCTTTAAAATGTGCCACTGTGGATCTGGTGAAACTCTCTGACTTAACAATCTGGCAAATAATTATCATCACATGCTAGTTTGACGTCTGGTGCAGGAGAACCTAGCATATGAAACGATAATGTCCATCTTTAGAATGGAGTTAAAAGGCGGTCACCGCAGCTTTCTGTTGGCTAGAGAACAAACACAAATCGTAACTGACTCAGAAAGTATGATGAGGAAGGTGATAACAACCGTGCTTCGTGTAGAGTGGCATGCTTCGCTTCTGAGGTCAAGGGTGAAGAGCGTAGTCTGGATCTTTTCTCTGTGGCTATGTTGGTGTTTCGGGAAATGAACAGGGGGACCGATTGGCTGGCCCTGCACAACTTGGTGGAATATTTATGCCTGATAAGGCAGACGTTGTAAAGGCCCTATGGGAGCACGTATACAGTGTAGGGAAAAATTTACCATCAAGTATGGTGAGAGTGGTGCAGTGAGGAGTGACAAGAGGATCTGGAATACTCTACGCTTAGAAGAAAGGCAACACGGAGATAAATCAGACCTGCTACTCTCACCACAGGTTTTGAAACTACGTTGGCAAAGATTCGGAAGGGGCGCTTATGGGAATGCCTCGAGTGCAGTAATGTGGGTTTTTGAATCAATTCAAGTTTACTGCAATGAGTAAGAACGTATCTCAGACATTTAGTTCCCTTGGCACGGGGTCACACAATTTTTTTTGGGTGTAATTTGCATTAGACATTGCTCAAGTGTGGGGGTACTTTTAAAGACTTGCAGTGCATAATTACACTACTGTCTATCCTCCTGTGGGTTCCGGGCCTCATTGTAGGGAAAACAAAAATTTAGCCACTGCCTCTCCAACAAGCATGTCGTAAGAGTAAACTAACTGAGGGTTTATGTTTTTTCTGAAAATGGATGTGTTAGTGCGAAACGCACAAATATCGCGCAGTCTTGCCATAATAAACCACGCAATGTGCCAGTCTCCCCTTTTAAGGTTGCAAATATTGTAGAAGAAGATTGTGTTGACTGACTATGTTAGGGGATTTAAAGTAGACAAGCGGTGTATTTACTGAGGATGGGGGATTGGACAGAAAAATTTAAAACAGAATACAGAAAGACAACAACAAACATTACCAGATTGCCCCAACATTTAAGGCATCACAATATTGTATCAACATGCATACAAAAAAAGGCAGCTGAAAAGTGAGCTATTTGTCCCAACGTTTTGCTATCAATGGCAGACATGGACAGTCCTAGACAAACATGAGAGATTTGATGTGTAAGAAATGCGACAGGAAAACAAGAAGAGACAGAGTCACCAACAAGAACACTTGTAGGTATAGTACAGGTAAATGATTTCACAGAACATCAAAGAATCATATGGTTTGGACATTTGGTCAGAATGGAAAACAAAATCAGCCAGCAACTAGAGCGTATAACATGAATACAACAGGCTACAAAGTAACATGCCAACCAAGAAAAAAGATGGGTAGATGGAATGAAAGAGACACTAAAGAAATGCAATATGACATTAGCGCGAGTTACACAGGAAGTCGCAGTGGCGTAGCGGCTAGACGCTTGCCTGCGAATCGGAAGGTCGTGGGTTCGCTCCCTGGCGGATCCGGACGTTTTCCAAAATGACCTTGGCTCCCAGGTCGACCCAGCCTTTAGTGGGTACCAGGTACAGTCCTGGGAAGTAAAGGCCGTCGGCGTGATGCTAACCACATCACCCATCTTGTGCCGTTGGTCCAACAAATATAGGTATAACCCTGTATTTAAACAAAGAAGACACAAACAATAGACTGCACAATTTATTTAATCAATTGTAACTGTAGTATGCATCTGACGAGATGCAGCGAAATATGCCAGGCAATAAATTGTGCAATCTATTGTCTGTGTCTTCTTTGTTAAAATTCACATAGGGGAAACACTGCTTTGATAACCCTGTATACCGAATACACCTGAAAGTTGTGGAAAAGGGTTCTTTACTTTACTTTGTGCAAGTTACACAACTAGCAAAAGGCTTACTATAAACTACATCTAACTTCTATCTGCCAGTCTTCACGATAAAAGATGTGTTAAAACTGTTGATTTGTTTCGCTAAAAGTTAAACAGCGAGATATTTTTAACACGCCTAAACGACGCGATCAGAAGAGCGGGCTTGCCTTGAATCGCTGGAGCAGACGGCAAGCAAACAGCTCGAGACCGTTGGACCAGGCAGTCATAAACGTTTCCAGTTTCTCAGCCAAATTTGGATTTATATCTTTCTTTCGCTGAATACGGATATTTTTATTTGTTATAATTCAACATGGCTCTAGGAGGCTGCTATGCGTGTATCAAGTACTTGATGTTTGCCTTTAATTTTGTGTATTGGGTAAGTAAAATAAACTTAAACGTTGAAGTTTAATATATTAATACTATAGTCATATCTTATCAATCGTTTCCCGACTCACCTATCAATCTTTCATTTTCATATGTAATTCGTTGTCATCAGTTTGTAGTTGATCTATAGAAGGTAGTTCTTCAATAAATTTACACAACACATTCAGTTGTTCTGTTTCAAGAAACGACACGTGGACTATTATTAGTATTTTCATAGGAGTTAGGCTAAATCATTAAAATTAATAAAATGTCAACCGAAGTGAGTGTATTTTAAGACTATTATTTATGGTTATCACCATTCCAGCGCCATTAGTGACAAATTTCTATTTTAATTTTCATGTTGCAGAGTGAAAATAGAAATAGTACCATAAGCCAGTCGTGTTCGGGTACTCTTAACTTAGGGTCAGCAGTAAAAAAATACTGATTTGTAATTGTATACCTAGTAAACACAACACTCAGTCATGTCTTAAGATGCGACTATGACTAAGGAGGTTTTTCATCTCTCTTCTTTTTTTTTAACCCTTTTAGCACGGGAAGTTTTTCAGATGTCTAGCCAAAAAGTCACGAAGCATTTTTTCAGTAAATTTGGTTATTACTTTATTTAATTTTGTTTGACACATTTCTGTTATTCTGACCCCCATGAAATAACATATCAATTTGAAGGATATAGATTGAAGTTCATGATTTTCACAATATCGATAAAATTAATTGGTGCATATGCAAAATATCTCATTTGCATATCTAAAAATAGAAAATTAGAATGTGAATTTTCAACTTCAATGCATGAAACATACAACTAAAAACAAAAATATATTTTATTTATTTTTACAAATGTTGTAAGCAATTCAATAGTCAAAAACAGGTATATATATATGAAACAGCAATAATATCATTAGGTGACATGTGTTTTTGACCATCAGTCAGCACAAGAAATGGATGTGCCGGAGTGCCAACATCTTTGGGTAGATGTACCAAGAGCCATGGTTGGGCTGTGGTCTGAACACAACAGCATCCCCATCTGATTCCCCACTATTACCACTAACAATAGATCCTGCATCAGTATCAACAGAATTAGTGTAATCACTTGATTCAAATGTTTTATCAACATCAAGTTTAGGGGCAGAAACATACGAGTCAGACATACTTTTAGCGGTTCAGGTCATTATCTAAGAAATTCAACAAAAATTTTCACTTCGATACCAAACACTCGAAAGTCACCATGTGTAAAGCTAATACAGCAGTGAATATGAATGAATCACTTTCAGTGTTTCAAAGTAGGAGATTTCTTAGCGGTTCCGTGGCAAAACACGATCAGGCCGATGATAGGCCGTTCCGTGTTTTTGGCCAGACATCCGCCGGCCGATAATCGGCCCGTCCGTGCTAAGAGGGTTAAGCATTCCGAGCCTTTAGGGTTCATTGCTGCAGATATCACCCGCCTCTATTCATTCTCTGGTTGGCCTTCACTTTACAGTTGGTGACACCAAGTGTTTGCAGGTCTGTCTGGACGTTATTTTTTCGTCTTTTTTGTGTGCTTTGCCTCGTGGTCTATGACCATTCATCTCTTGTGTATACAGTTTTTACTTCTCTATCTGTCATTTCTTCTTCTTCAGCGATCTCTGGTCATGCGCATAATCCACTGTGGGTCATAAACTGGGATGTCTTTTCAAGGTCTCTTAGGTTTCCCCAAAGCTTAGTTGTCAGTTCTACTGGGTGTTGCCATATGTCGCTCCGCAGCTCCGTCAGGAGAGGACAGTCTTGCAGGACATGTTCTGGAGTCTGTTCAGCACGAAGGCACCGGCAGAGAGCTGTTTGGCTCATACCTAATTTATGTGAGTGTTTATTGAGTCTGCAGTGTCCAGTGCGTAAGCGAAAAACTGTGACTTGGTCTGTTCTGTTCAAGTGTTTCAGAAAATCTTTTCCGTAGTTATAACCAGTGTTGGTTTTCCAATCTGTTTCTGATTTTCTCTTAATGAGAGTTTTGACTTCTAGAAAAGATAGTGGCTGGTAGGTCTGTGGTTTGTTACTGTCTTCCTTGGCTAAAGCATCTGCGCTTTCATTGCCTTTGATGCCACAGTGAGACGGAATCCACTGCAAGTGAATTTTTGCCTTATTTGACAACATAGCAAGTTCCTGTGTTAGACTTTGTAGTGTGCTGTTGGTAGGTTTGGACTCTAGGGCCTGTATAGCTGACAGTGAGTCAGTCAGAAAAACTATCCTGCCTGCGGTAATTTGCAGATTGTTCATATACTGCGCTGCCATCAAAAGGGCTGAGAGCTCTGCCTTGTAGTTAGAGCAAGTTCGTCCGGTGGGGGCTGCTAGGGACACAGTAGTGGCATCTGGGTGTTTTATGTAAACACCTGCCCCACCATTCGTAGTTGCCTCTTTTGCTGATCCATCCGTGTAGATTCTCGTCCAGCTGTCCTGTGGGAACATGTTGTTGAGGTGTTCCATTGTGAGTGCTTTCTTCACTAAAGCGGGCTCAGCATCTTTGTTTCCCAGGTTCGGGATGGATGTTGACACATTGAGTGTCAATAATTCAGAGTCCCAGAGATCGAAAGATAACTCTTCAGGTGTACATTGTTGGTTAAGCAGTGAAGAGAATGACTTTCCAAATTCCTTAGTTAGATGGTTTAGGCTTGTGCGCTTTATTCGGTTTTTTGTCCTGGCTGCCAATTTTTCGTGTAATGGGTGGTTTAGCATTCTCTTCATTTTTTCAGCATGTAGAATTGCTTTTGTCCTTCTTCTTTCTTCTAAGGGGATGATGTTGGCTGCCTTTTCCATTTCTACAATAGGTGTAGATTTTATGGCTCCCAGAATTGTAGGCAGACTTCTATTTTGCGTTTTGTCTAGTATCTGTTTATTGGAATGGGCTGCTGTTATCCATGACGATGATGCATATTCGAGAGTTGGTCTGACTGTGCCGGTGTATACCTGCTTCAAGATACAACTGTCTGCTCCCCAAGTGGTGCCTGCCAATTTCTTCATCACACCTTGTTTTCTCATAGCTTTTTTGTTAGTTTCTAGTATGTGATGTTTCCATGTTAGACGACTGTCAAGCTTGACTCCCAGGAAGGTTGGAGTATTGGAGCGTGGAACAGCATCATTGTTGAATTTTAATGTAAACTTCTCTTCCTTTGTAGACAATGATAAGAGTGTTGCTACAGTTTTGTTTTTGTTTACTTCGAGGCCCCATTTGTTGGCCCAGTTTATGACACTATTCACACTTTCCTGGAGTTTTGATATGGCAGGTCCAATGAACTCAGAGGTTTACCACACAGCTAGGTCATCTGCATGAAGAGAATGTGATACATGTCTGGGTAAAGCTTGAGGTGGGTTGTTGATGTAAATCAGGAACAGGACTGGAGACAGTACACTACCCTGTGGTACTCCTGCTCTCAGCTTGAATCTGGGACTATGTGCTTCATCTAGTTTCACAGATGCCCGCATGTGGGATAGGAAGTCTTGTACCCAGTAGTACATTCTGCCTCTTATTCCACTATGTAAGAGCTTTAGCATCAAGCCATCCTTCCATACTTTGTCAAAGGCCTTGGACATATCAAAAAAGACTGTGAGGGTTTTCTTCTTTTCCTGGAAGCCATTTTCTATGTCCTGTGTAGGGTATGCTACCTGGTCATCAGTGCTTCTGTGCTGTCGGTAGCCTGTCTGAGCGGGATCCAGTTTGTGATTGGTTTCTAGGAACCACTGAAGTCTGGTGGCTAGCACTCTCTCCATCGGTTTTGCGGGGCAGCTTAGCAGACTTGACAGGCCTGTAGCTCTGAGGGTCCTTCTTGTCCTTGCCACTTTTGAGGATAGGGTGGATTATAGCATTTTTCTAGATATCTGTGACTCTGCCTAGTTTCCAGCTATAGTTGTATATCTGGAGTAAGATGTTTTGTGCTACTGGACCCATATGTTTGAGCATGTCGTTTGAAACTTCGTCTGGGCCAGGTGCCTTCTTTGACTTGAGTTTTCTCATTGCTCTTAGTAGCTCAGTTAGAGTGATGTCTGTCTCCATGCATGGCTCACAAGAGGCTTTTTTGAATATGGAGTTTATCCCATCTCGGACTGCTTTCTTTTGCTCCAGGGTTACTGAATATGAGCTTTCTTTCTCATAGTTGTCTGTCATTTGACATTCTTTCAATATGCCCCAACCATTTAAGTCTTATTAGCTCTCATGATGCCAGTGATCAATTGTGATTTAATCAGATTATGAATTTCATTGTTGCTTCTCACTCTTTATTCCCCGCTGTTTGCATCTTTGATGGGTCCAAACATTTGTCGTAAAACTCTTGTTTTCCAAAACCTGTAATAAGACTATCTCTTTTAGTTGTGCTCCAAGTTTCAGAGCCAAATAAAATGACTGGTCTTCTCGTTTTATATATTTTGATCATGGTGTTGCGAGACAGACACTTTGACTGTAGCAGATGTTGAAGGCATAGTTTACTTTATTTCCAGATTATTCTAGATTGTATTTCTTCTCCCAGCATGTTGGAGCAGTTAAGGTTTGCACCCAAATACTTATATGTTTCCGTTCATTTGATTTTCATATTATCAACATATATGTAGCCAGAGTTAATATCTTTCCCTGTCAAGTTATTATCAAATTATTATTATATTCTGTCCTTTTTTGATTTATAACTAGTCCCATTTGCTGAGCTGATTCTTTTAAGAGAGTCAATGTTTTAACAGTTCCAGGTTCGTTATCCATTTATATCCATCAAAAATCGAGGTTTAGATAGTTTTTCATCTTTAGCTTGCAAATATTATACCATGAACAAGTATTTCTTCCCTATTACTATTAATTCTTAAAAGAGAAACAAAGTTTAGTTTAGGGAAAGGATATAAACTCCAGTCACATATAAGTCGATAATAAGAAAACCAAACAGTAACATATAAGTACTTGGGTGCAATATTATACTATGAACAAGTATTGCTTCATTATTACTATTAATACTTAAAAGAGAAACAGAGTTTAGAAAGCCAACTTACCTC